CCCCAAAACCCCAAAACCCCTAGTTTGTAAAATCTGATGTTAATTGAACAATAATCTATAAAATATCTTATTTATATATATATATATATAACTTATGTCTCATTATTTCTTTTTATTTTGTCTTGAAAATGCTATTTTTTGGAAAACAGAAAGACTATTTCCGTTTTTAAAGACTTATTTATCTTAAGGTTTTAGTAGATTCTCACCTTTGTATTCTTCATCAAAGTATTATTTATTTTAGAAAACTATTGGCTGTGGTTCTTTTAATGATTTTCTAGATTTTTTATTGTTTTTAAATTATTTAGCAAGAGCGAAATCTTCATTATCGATTGAATAATCTCTAGATATGTCCATTTTAGAGTTAGTAGCTATATTATGATCATCAATTGACACGATCTTTTTGTTGTTTAGAGCAATCTTACTCTATTTCTCAGTGATATCCTTATTAAAACTATAGCTATCCTATATAGGCTTACTAATAGCTTTTTTCTCAGCTTTACTTTTAGAAGATTTCTTTTCAGTTTTTTTCTACTTAGAATTATTGATGGCCTTAGAGATATTATGTGACTTATCCCCATCATTGAAAATAGTAATATCTATAGCTGATTTTGCTTATGTATGAGATTTATTATGTGAATCTTAGTTGTTGAATGAAAGTGGATCATTTGGTTTAAAAGATAATTGATATTGAGGTTTTAATCTTTTCTTTTTATCTGTATTCTAATTAGATTTGAAGCTATTTATTGCATTAAGCTACTAACCAATCATTAAAAATTCAGTATTTTGAGCTGATCTTTCATATCCATGATTCTATTGCTATTTGTCTTCACAGAGTCCACTCTCAATCAGAATTTCTCTTTCTTATTGATATCTTAGATTCTGCTTATATGTATTCTCTAGTTATTCCATGCTTTTACTTAGTACAATAGGTCTGAGGATTGATGCTAATTTTAGAGAAATCCTACCTTTCAATGAGCTAAAGATACAGTATACACAATACACAAAAAACCAAGCATTAGCAATCAAAATAAAACTAAAAACCCCCATTTCAACTTCCTTTGAAATTTCATCGCTAACAAAGTACAGTGCTCCAAAGAAAGTAAATATTGAAATTACTATTTCTCTCTGCTCAAGACTGTTAAGAATAGGATTTTTATAAGGTTTTAACCTAATTTGAAGTCTGAGGAATATTACAAGAATGATTAGGCTAACAAGAGCTTTAAATATATTTGGATAAAGATTAAGGAACACATTGATGCAAACAAGTGCTGTTTTTCTAATTACGTTTAAGAACTCCCAGTAATATACTCTTGGGTCCAAGCCTTGATATAGTAATTTATATTTACCGAAAATTTCATCATCATAAAGCTATTTCCTATGCTTAGTTAATAGTCTGTAACCAATTAAAGGACAAAGAACTGTCCAAATTATTATTGAAGTTAAACCAAGTCCAATTGCCCATTTTAAGTGATCAATGCTCCAGCATTCAATTTATAAATCTTCCTATAGCCAAGCCTCTCCAGTATCTAGCTCCATGCAAAAGAACAGAGAGGTACTCATTCTAGTTAAAGTAGGATGCAATGTATAAATGATAACTACGAATGTTACAGTTAGCTATCTGGAAATTTAGGCTAATTTTTGCTTTCTAATAATATTAATTATTGTCAAACCTGATGAGAAGATAATTAATAGTAATAAAGGGAGCAATGTGATAATCATAACTTTGAAGTAGTAAGTAGAAGAACCTTTTTCAGCAAATCCAGTATCCTTTAAAAAGCAATCGAATGATATTAGACTTTCAGCTATTTCTCCAACAGAGGTATAAAATCCAAGAAATTCAGAAAATTGCTATGGCCATTGCAAATTGAACGCAGCCGCAGTAGATAGTATTTAAATGTGATTTAAAATGATCCTAATGATTACACTGGTTTAATTTTCCTTAGAATCTCTTAAATAATACCACAAGATGAAGCTAATAACGATCAAGAGCCCAATACATACTCCAAAGATAAAGAATATGTTTTGTAATCTAGGAGGACAGAGTCCACACTGATGATCACTTATTCTAGTAAATTAAGTATTATCATCAATTAGTTAGCATTAGTGACATAAATTGCCTCCATATCCAAAAGCACATTATGGAAATTTATATTCATCTTCTGATGTATTTTTTGCTTTGTAGCCTCCAACACAAGCATCTTTATTAAGGCAATTAATAATGTGAGAAGAATAATCAGATGATCTCCAAAAGCCAGGATAAATCGCAATTTTAGATCCACCAGGACAATCTGCATTGTTTGGACATTCTAAACAAGAGCTTAACAATCCATTAAATGAATAGAAACCAAGTCCACAAATATAACATCTAAAAAACACTTTTTTAATAAAAATCTTACTAATCGTTTTAGACAGTTTCACCTTCAATGCAATTTCTAAAATCTAGGTTTACAATGGCAGAATTAACTTGTGATAAATCATGGGTATCAAGTTCATCAAAAAATACTTATTTAATATAATCAGTATCAATACTTGGAGACTAAACTTAAAACTATACTGAGCCTGACCCTGGAGTTGATATAAAAATCAAATCATCTAGAATTCCAATTCCATTTTAAACTTAAATCAGGTTTTCGCCGCTAACTTTAGATTTTGAATCAATTTGACTTATTTTTATAGTTCTATTGGGATTATAACAATAAATCTTACGAAGAGTTATCAATCGAAATTATATTCTAATCGTAATCAACAATAGCAGCAACTATTTTCCCTTCATATCTCTGGCCACTAGCTACTTGAAGTTTGTCGTAACTTAATATTTTCACACTGAAAGGGAATCCAGCAATATTACTACCATAAGGTGCGTAGTTTTATGTATCAAATTGGTTCGAATCTAATTTTAACGGTCTATGTTTATTGTAGTAGACTGCTCCTCCTTATAATGAAGCAATATTTTTATTAAAAGTGTTATTTTCCACTATGTATTCACATCTTATAGCTATAAAATAATTAAAATCATAATCAACTTACATCTAGAACATTAGAATGCTATAGCCCCTCCATCTTTTGCCTAGTTATTTTCAAATTTGTTATTAATAAGAGTTGTATTTGTATTTTATGAAAGAATTGCACCACCTTCGACTCTTGAACTACCATAGTTGAAAATCGAGTTATATGATTTAATTTCTCCCTTATACACAGAAAAAATCATTTTTTAGTCGATAATATCGTTACTGGATTATTATTTTGACGCTAAGAATACTGAAGAATTCACAATTAGACTAGTTATAGAGATTTCAAAGAGATTCACATTAAAATTCTCGATTCTGGTATTTGTTATATTGTAGTTAACACATCTTTTAACATCTGATAGTGTTGTCCCATTTGATTAAAGTCCAGAGAAATTAGAACTAAGCAAACTTATATTCGAGCTATCGGCCTTCATCAAGAAATCTGATTCACTGTATAGAGTCACATTTAAAACTGTTGAATTAAAGAATGTTAGATTTGATTATTGATTGCTTATCATCATTACGCTATTATTAAGAAATAAGGAGCTTTATATCTAGATATCTGAATTTAAGTTTGATTCAATTAGATATTATTTGTGTTGAGTCTTTTATTATAGGTAGCTAATATTTTAGAAAACAGTATCTTAGACATCTAATTTACTCTAACTCAAAGTGATTAAGGACCCATCACTGGAGTCTATCTAGTTATTTATAAAGCTGCAATTCATTATTTAGATTCGACTAACATACGATATCACAAAGTTGCTATTTAAAAATTGTTAATCAGTTACAAACTTACCTTGTAGCTTCAATGGATGAATTCATTATTATTAGATTAGACTTAGCAAGATTCATTTGATACTATGGTCTGTCCCTTGTATTATCTAAATTTTCTTTTATAATATCACTAATAACATAGGTTTAATAATAATAATCGTCTTTCCAAATCTAATGGACTTTTTATAAAAGCTCTGCTCGAGATACTACATTGTTTTATGAGATTATAGTATTCTAAATTAGCTATGTTACATCTAAAGCATCCAGGGAAGAAAAAATTGAATTTCGGATTGCATAATTACCACTAATTTAAGTATTAAAGACAATAACTCTAGCATAATTCTCAAGGACTCCAATCCCCCCAGATATAGCCAAATTATTTAAGAAAAATGAATCTGAAATATTGATGAAGCCTGAATAATGAGAGAAAAATACTCCTCCATTAGAAGCGAAGTTATCTTTAAAAGTACAGTTTTAAATTCCAACTTCTACTTTTTCATAGTCTGCTAGGATCACACTTCCTCTTGAATGAGATAGAGTCTTTTAGAATACCGTATTGCGCAAGTAAACTTTAGAATTACTATTAAGCTGTATTAAAGCTTTAATGTTTGGATAGTTTTGATTAAACTAGCAGCCTATTATTTCTACCACTGTAGGTAATCTTATCATTTAAACATCGAATGATTTAACCTAAATGAAGGCTTGAAAGTTATTTTCAAAAATGGAGTCTTAGATGAGTACAGGATAAATTTGATTTTATCTTGCTTATATAAGGAATCCTCCAGATGAAAATGAGTTATTTTTGAATTCTGAACTTTATATTATCATTCTAGCATTATTTTCATCTAAGTAAGAGTCAATTAAGATCAATCCTCCTTCTTTTTGAAACTGATTCAGAGAAAATGTAGAATTCACTAGCAAAAACTATAACTATTTTTGGATAGGTAGTGCAAAAAGATTTTTAAAACCTCCAAAGCTTAAGAAATTTACTTTGTTATCAACAACTGAAATATTGTTGAAAACACAGTTATCATTATTATATACACTGAGACTAAACTCATCAAATCTAATTTTAAAATAGATGAGCAAATAAATTATACCTAATAATTTAGCCACCGAATTTCATATCGTCTGCATATGTGAAATTTCTGAAGGTAACATTATACATGTAGAAGCTTTGACTTTTAAGATTCCTAAGATAATAAGATTGTGAAGAAATTTCTATTGTTTGTTTAATTACTATATATCTTACTTTCATCTCTAAAGACTGAGTTAGTTATTTGAAACTTCTACAGCGCCTAATCTTGCTAAAACACTAAAAATAAAAATTTTTTAACATAAATGTAACTTACTGTAATTAGAATTTATATTGTTATTCTAGAAGTAAAGTCTGTTAAAATTTTATGTTCCATTTAGAGGTGTAGCTCCTTTAATAAAAGTATGTCCAATTTTAGATTAATCCACTAAAATATTATGCTTAAGTTGCTAATATAAAAGATATACTTACAGGTATTATTTATCATGATTAAATTGTCTACATAGACATTTTGAAATAAATTCATGATTATTACTATCCTTGACTCAGTATGACAATTTAACAATTTAACGTCGATCAAGAATACTGAGAGTTACCCGACTAGTTAATAGTGAAAAGCATTGAGTGGTCCTAAGGTGATATTGTTTTAAGTTATATTTTTGTAAGTCGCATTAATATGATTCAAAACAGTTATACAGAAGAATGAAATCGAGGAATAAAAATGCTCTGCAGTGACATTTTCGACAATACATTTTAAATTCCTCATGTTCAAATCTGACTTAAAAACACACCAAAGGAATATTTAATGACTAGTCTCTGCTTATTTAGCATCTGTGGATATATAGTTATTTGAGAATTATATAGTTCTTGTAAGGTTATCTTTTGCAATAGGACATAAGGATGTAGAATCTACATATATCTGCTGCTTGTTTGCATCACTAACCAATGAAAATGATCTGAAATCACAGTTGTCCAATGTAACATTAAACAGTGAGGTAATGTAGATATGCGGCATGGACACTTATAAATATCTCTAACCCTTAAGTCTTAGATAGCTTTACAAATGAATAGATTTTATAATATTACCTGAGTACAATGTTTCCTGATTGAGTATTAGTCTAAAGTAAACTACAATCTGAAATAATGATGACTCCCTCGTTCATCCAATCTGTAATAATCGTAGAATTATAAATCATTAAATTCATAGGGTTCTATGTCCTCATAATCTTTCCATAAAGATGAAAATTAGCATTCTAAACTATTAAAGGATTAAATTACATAAAATGAAATTTGCCTGTGTTAAATATCCCAGAAATAAAACAATCTACTATTTTCATTTTTAATTTAATGATCGTCTATTTAATATATTAATGAATGGCATCTTACTTTTAAAATGGATGTATTCTATGGTCAAATTGCTTCTGATAACAACAATCTCTCCTCTTAAACTAACCTAGTTAAGATCATATTAGCTCAACTTTCCCTAATTTATTTTTTCACTTATTCTATAAGTCTCATTGATAATTGAAAATCAAGTTAATTTTGAACTTTGAAGCAATTAGTCTGTTTTTAAATATAGTGTCGCTGTTTATTTAGGAATAATCAAAGATTAGCTGTCAGAATATGTCCTAATTTATGTTATTAAACTTAGCTTACTTGATGGTAAGATTAAAAGCATTTAAAATGATCTACTAATTAAAAAGTGATTAAACGTAGTCTGTAGTATTCTCATGTATTAGCAACTTATAACTTTTATTGTCGATGCTTAGATAATTGAATATCTCAATTAAGGCTGATGATATCGATTTAAATGGATATTGTATTGTCCCTAATTCCATATAACTACTAGAATCCGGATTAACATAGATCTCATCATCTAAACAATTCAAATTATATGTAGCAAAATTACCTCGGCAATATCGGAATGAGCTTTACAGAGTGTTGTGATTAGTAATTAGAATCGACTCTTAATTTTATGAGCAAGTCTAAACGCATCTTAAATTCGTGACGTCTAAATATTGATTATTTTCACATGCTAGGCATGTATTTGAATCCATGCAGAATCTACCTCCTGAGCCACAATTGCAGGCTTAATAGTTTAAAAAACATTATCTTACGAAGACAATTATTCTAAGTGTCTAAATATTGGAATTGTTCGCAAAAAGAGCATCAGCCATCCAAGCCAAGTTTCATTTATTAATTTATACATATCGTGCATTATTAATCATTTATGCAAGTTTTACACGAGTGATCACAGTCTATATTTAATTCAATAAACAGGAAATTAAGTGATACATTGACAAGTATTATCTGACTATCTGAGATATTAGTTTAGTTGACACTCTGGCTATGTTGCAAACGCAATTGCAAAAAGAGATAGAAATAACTGGGTTTTATATATTTTGAAAATCATTAATATTATGAGGGTCTGCTATAAATTTCAATTTAGATGTTATCAATATATTATAATTTAAGAAAATGCAAGCCAAAATTACTCATGGGGTTTTGGGGTTTTGGGGTTTTGGGG